ACATTATATGTAAATAAAAAAATTTCTTTTTTAACTACATATTTTAACATCAATCACTATTTCATAATACGTTACTCACAAATAATGGAGCACAAACACGCCCTAAACATAAATATAAGTGGATGAAGACTAGACTGTTAGCACCTGGCACTCACTTACACGGGGCGCCTCGCATGATTCCCATGCCATGTGGAACACAGTTGCACCAATTCGTGTGCATTAATCAAAATATTGGAAATTAAAATTTGATTTTTAACAGACTCTTATAAACAATGATTAAATATTTGATTAAAAACTCATGGATCTCATGAAATATGTGTTTAAAATTTATTGTTAACTTCGATTTTAATAAAATTTTAAATTTAATTTCTATAACGGCTATATTGTTCTGTTTGATTTTGATAAATATCAATTTTTTAGTATATTTGATAAAAATGGGTGAAATTTATAACTTAAAATATAATAAAAGTTGTGGTTCCCACGAAACATATATTTAAAAATGAATTTTACAAAATGAATGCCAACATGAGCAAAATATATATCTAACTTTTTTTAGCAAAAAACTCAAAGCTAACTCTAGCTTAATTTTGTTGGCTATATGAGTCCAACATATTACTTAGGGCATGTTTGATGGAGGTTTAGTTGGCTATGATCTAATTTTGAATGTTTAGTTGCACAAATAATTAATCAGATGTATAGTCTTAATGTAAGTTTTTAGTTTGATGTCTCAAGCGTATATGCCTACTTACGTTTTGACATAGATCATTGCAAAAGGATATTGACTTGACAATATTCATTGAAAGTGAATGTGGATGACTTAAATGTACACGATCTCGAGTTCGCATCTATAATTTATTTTCGAGAACAATCATGTCAAGTCGATATGTATTACATTATTTGTAGCATAACATATGTAAATATCACCAATCAAATTCTTTACAATAATATAGCGACATTGAAAATAATTGAACCAATACGTACAGAGTTAGCTCCCATTTGATACAAATTCCTTAAAAACTAATTTTTCTTCAAATTCATATTTAATCAGACAATATCTTAATAAAATAATTTTATATGCGGATCCATAATTTTTCCTACTTTATATCGGTATGTTCTAAAAAAGTTATCACTTTCCACAAAATTTATATCAAGCAAATCTTAATATTAGGTCGCTCCAAAGATAATTGAAAATCAAATGAATATGTAGCTTGGTTCATTTTACCACTATCACTATAAAGAAAAATGAAACTACTTTAAGGGGGAGAATTACATCCTGAATAACTGATCCAAATGTGTATAAACTGTGATCGCGTTCGAATTTACTTGGATGGCGAATCAGGAGAAAGTCCGCCACTCCTCATAAGTAATCGAACGAAACTCGAACACCTGAGTTAAAAAAAAAAATGTAACTACATTTCCTCATTCACCTTTTCAATGCTATCTACCATTCATGGCGTCAGTTCCCATGAAATGATAAGCAATGATGTAATCATTATTACGGCTCCCAGAAAATCTCTGCAAAAAGCCCAAACAATGAACCAAAAGCAACTATAAATAAATGAAAATTTGGGCTAATGCTATGGCCCACTCTATCACCCCCTATTTTCGTCAATCTTGTGGGGGGTGAGTGAATTATCCAAATGATCACTGAACTTTGTAAAAAAATTTCAAGGGACCACAGAACTTTAAAAATCACTTAAATAATCATTGAATTTTGCAAAAAGTTTCTCAAGGGTCACTGAATAGGAAATATTTTTCAAAGTTCAGTGACCCCGTAGAAATCTTTTGGAAAGTTCAGTGATCATTTATGTTATTTTTAAAGTACAATGATTCCTTGAAAACTTTTTGTAAAATTCAGTGACCATTTGGACAATTAACTCTGTGGGGGCGTTGTGAACATGAAACAACAAACTAATCTCCAGTTTGGTGTACATTATTTAGGAGTTGTTTAAGCCTTATTTTTCTCAAAAAAATACATTTTAAAATAGTATTATGATGGAGAATGTGTAGTTAAAAAATAAATAAAAATTTTGAATTTGCAAGTAATATTATTTTATTAAGAAATATGTTGTTGAAATAATATTAAATCACTGTTAAAAATGTATTTTTATAAAAAAAGGGGACTCAAACAAGGGGTTAAAAAAGAAAAAAAAAAGAATTTTGAACAATATTTTAGGAAAATATGAGATTAAAAAAATAAAAAAATTATTAAATTTACTTGTAAAATATTTTATTGTATGAACGTGCGATTAAAAATAATCCTATAGCAAACAGAGTTTTAAAACAATAGGCACCAAACATGGGCTAAGCATACTTGATATCTATTAAAATAATTTGCTTTTAAGAAGATAAATTTTGAAATAGTGATTTTTTCAGAGAATACGTGATTAGAAAATAGGGTGAAAAATTAAATTTACATGTAAAATATTTTATTGTATTAACGTGTAATTGAAAATGAGTTTGAAGAAAAAATATTGATTTAGTAGATATCAAACAGGGGCTAACTGAAAAGATATTCTAAACAGACTATTTGAAGAACCCTAATTCCCACTTTTTACGTCACTCTTTTCCTATCGAAAAATTCAAATTTTTAGCTAAAACGGATAAGATAAAATTGAAACGTAAAATGTAATTAGGCGATAAGGTCAAACTTGTACCTAGCTTTTTTTAGAACATTGTTATGGAGCTCAATTGTTACTTTTGTTTCGATTTAAAACACTTAAGATAGGTTGATTACAAATATGAAATTTGCATGAAAAGAAAATAAAATTTAGGTAATTCAATTGCCTATAATTTATTTGCATGGAAATTGTTAATTAAATTGTTTGATTGATTTAATTTTCAACATAGAAAATATTATACTTGTCCGTTTTTTATTGGTGGGTAGATGAAAAAGAGTGAATAGATGAGAGAGTGAATTTCCTGAAAAATAAATTTGTAATCCCCCAAAAGAAAATATTTTCCTTGATTTTGAGAAAAATATGATTATGTGACCAAAAGTAGGAAAATATTTTTCATGAGAAAAATTGACAATCATACAGCACAAAAGTAGGAATTTGGGTGGAAAAAACACATTTTCATGAAAATATATTGGCAATCAAACGCACCATTGGATTACGTGAGTTATTTTTGTTGTCCAAATTTAAAAAAACCCATGCTAATAAGGAAGTATGTAATTTTAGTAAAAAAAAAAAAAAAGGAGTATTTTTGACAATTTAGAATCTTAGATGATAAAATAAGTACATCAAAGGAAATTTTAAGCCACATCCTAACTTTGGTTTTCATAAGATAATAACAGACGAAGCAGAATTGATCTCCTACTCATGGTGGGTACAAGTTATCTTGCACACTGTTGATGCAGGACCTACAATTTTTGACAATTGAACTCGAAATGTTAAAAATTGTAGGCTTGACATCCACATCGGTGATGAACATATTTTGTTCTATCCATAACGGGTAGGAGATCATTTTTAATATAGGAGTTGCATAAATTAACATACGAGTTACATAAATTAACATGAAAATGAGAGTTTGACGATTAATTTAGAACAAAAAAGTGTACACATTTCTCTCTCTAGCTAAGTCGCATATTTTATCCTGAATAATGCTGGTTGTACAAAGAGGGGTTACAAAGAGGGATGACAAAATGAGTTGGATGGCTGAAATGGTAGGGAAATGGATGGTGGTGATTGAATCTTACAATGGTAAATGGGAGCCAAAATGGTCACAGCAAATTGTCAGCCTAATAAAAGACAAAAATAATGCCATAGAGAAAATGAGTTTCTCTCTCCTCTGTTCCCCAAATTAGTTCATCTCATCTTCAATTCGTTTCCTCTTAAAAAAGGAAGTCCAGTGACACAAAACGGGAAAGGGGAGTTTCATACGTAACCCATTAACACAATTAGGTAGAAAATGAAAGTTATTTTTTTCAGCCGGAATCTTCATATTCACCATATACGGAGGCCGAAATGAGGCGGTGAAAATAGGCAGAAATTTTCGAAGAAGTTGTGTGTTTCTTCCATCTTCTCCACTCCAGCCGGACAGTGCATATATACATACTAGCCTGCTTTCTTTTTAGGTTTATTTTTTGTTACTGAAAATGCAAATTTGAAGAAATCTCTTGTACTTCTGCTGTGGACGAACTTAGGTATATTGATGATATATATATATATTAAATTTATATGCCTTTCGTTATCTTGTGTCATGTTTTTATTGATTATTAACTCCATTTCTCTCCAGAAATGAATTAATACGGTGTGCTAATTAAGTAAAAAGTTGGTATAAAATTATTCCAGAAACAGGAGAAGGTGTATTTTTATGGCGTATCTCCGAACCGAATCACTTATCCTATTACTTTCATCTATGTATTGACTGAAAATTGGTTGTTTATGTTGAGCTAGATATGTTCAATCTAGTTTAATTGACATGTAATTCTCTTACCATTATTCTAGCTGCAAAAGTAATTTTTGAATTGTTGTTTCTGTTAAGCTAAAATCGTCATGTGTAAATAACTAAGCTAAAAATCTTCATGATGAAGTCCGGGGAAGATTGGTGGAACATATATGCACTTAACAGAGCTATGTATTGATTCACATATAGCATTTTGAATGCGTAAATAATGGATGTGTTCATGTTTCGTAGACGAACAGAATATGGAAGAAATTTTGTGCACAGAATCCGAAAATGATAATGTCAAGGACAATGTGAACGTTGTGGAAGGTAATACGGAAGGAGGAGATAGTTTGACTACGCCTGAGGTTGGCATGAAGTTCAAGGATGAAAAAGAAGTATATATAAGTTTTATGAGAGATATGCTTATGCCGTGGGTTTTCCGATTAGGAAGAGGACTTCATCGAGGGATGATGCTGGGGTTTTGAAATTTGTCACGTTCACATGCAGTCGTTAGGGACGAAAAAGCAGTAATTCAAGCACTTCTCTGAAACCGCAGCCAACAATTCAGATGGACTATAAAGTTAGAATATCTGCATTTTTAGATATCCATGGGTATTTGGAAACTTAACACTGTCCACCTCGAACACAACCATGAGCCAAGTCCTACTAAGTCGAAGTTATATCGGTGCAATCGAGTGTTGAGTGCCCATGTGAAACGGAAGTTTGAAGTGAATGACATAGCAGGAATACCGTTGTATAAAAGTTTTAACTCTGCAGTTGTTGAATCGGGTAGTTATGAGAATATGACGTGTGTCTTAAAGGATTAACGTAACTATATTGAACAAGTGAGATGACTCAGACTTGCTGAGGGTGATGCAGCTGCAATACAGTCTTACTTTTCTGAAATGCAAGCACAGTGCTCGAAAATTTTCTTTAGTATTGACTTGGATGATGATTCATGGTTGAAGAATGTCTTCTGGGCAAACAACCGGTGTAGGCAAGCATATGAAGAGTTTAGGGATGTAGTCACGTTCGATACAACTTATCTTACGAATAAGTATGACATGCCCTTCGCCCTGTTTGTTGGCGTTAATCACCATGGGCAATCGACGTTGTTGGGTTGCGGTTTGGTATCGAATGAGGATGCTAATATCTTTGTCTGGTTGTTTAGGGCATAGCTTAAGTGCATGGGTGGAAAAGCTCTACATGGAATAATTACAGATCAAGATAGAGCCATGTAGAATGCAATTGAAATAAATTTTCCAAATACAAAACATAGGTGATGTTTGTGGCATATTTTGAAGAAGTTGCTAGAAAATTTTGGATACCACGTGGATAAAGCTTCGATATTTTTGACTGTATATGTACTGGTTTATGATTCACAATCTATCGAAGAATTTGAGGAAGGTTGGAGAGATATGATCAAATGTATGAGTTGCATGATAACGTTTGGTTGTTCGGATTGTACGAAAATAGAGTTTGTTGGGTGCCATGTTTCCTGAGAACAACCTTTTGGACTGGTATGTCAACGACACAAAGAAGTGAAAGTATGAATACCTTCTTCGATAGTTATGTACATGCAAAGACATCGTTGAAACAGTTTGTCGAGCAATACGAACGAACATTATGGAATAAGGTTGAAAAGGAGTTTATTGCTGATTTTAAGTCATTCTCTGAAGTCTTACCGTGTGCAACAACATACAAAATTGAGAAGTAATATCAGTCATACTATACTATTTCAAAGTTCAGAGAGGTTCAATCCGAGTTTACGAGAAGATGTATTGCGATCTCATATCTGCAGTAGAAGGACATATGGAGACGAAGCGTGAAGTACGTGAAGACGTAGTCCGTGGCCAGCGACGAAAGAAAACAATATTTAGAAATGTAAAGTAAATTATAGTTGTCACTTGTTCGAGTTTTGGGGAATATTGTGTAGGCATGCAATTGCAGTTTTGATACGTAATGACTTTACTGTCATGTCGGATCGGTACATTTTGTGAAGGTGGAGGAAAGATGTTACCAGGGCACACACGAGGGTCGCCGTTCACTACGATGGTTTGGTTACCACTCCAGCACAGATGAAGTATGATGGCATGTGTCATTCGTTTGTAGAGGTGACAAACCTTGCAGCAGACAATGAAGGGAAGCATGGTGTGATCATGTATTGGATACAAAAAAAAAAAAGAACTTAGTTCAACAAAGTTCGGTAGTAATAACATTTCGTAGTGTATTCCATCTGAAAAAATAGGAAGCGGGATTGTAAGGGATCCGAAAGAATCGAAGAGGAAGGGAGCACCTAGGACTAAACGGAGAAAAGGCTCGTGGAGGCGAGATCGAATAAATCAAATGTATATTCTAATGTCACTCTTGTATTCACTTTCTGTTGCATAGTAATTACCGGTGGTTATTATGCACATGCAAGCACGATCAAACCAAACAAAAGGAAAGAGTCTGATACCGAAGCAAAGTAATATCCCCAATTTGACGGTATATTGTTCATTTTTAATTGATGTGGTTTTTTATTGTTTCTGTTATGGGCTTCTTGATTGATTGCTTGACACTTTGTCGCAAACTGGAATATCTGTCTAGAGCCAGGCTGGAATGCCACTTCAAGAGGCATTTGGTTCGACCCAGTTCAATAGTCCAACCTTTAACCCGTTGCCTTTTCCCGTGCATGTCCCAAGCCAGTTTTCAGAAAATTGATAACTCGAATGTAATGACAGTGACTTTTGTAAAGATAGACCACAATGTTATTACAGTGACTTTTGCAAATTATCTACTTTTGTAATTGTTCCCTGTCGTGTTTGAACTGTCGAATGTGACTCAATTGTAAGGGATCTTTCAATTTTGCGTAATGAAATTTTTTATTTTAATTTGTGCATAACTTATGTTTCAAGTGTGGAATGGTTTTGCTTTTATGATGAGTTTGCCTTCCAATTTACGTCAATTAATATAGGTTGTTATGGCTCATTCAAAACTCATGTGAAACAGTATACACGTGGATGCACATTAAATGAGATTCAAATATGCAGATTAATAACTACTGGAATAACAACAAAAATCTGGAATGTTCCATTACACCATAGACAGATTTCTATCAGAATAATGCTTCCGAAGACTACATCACCAAAAAAAAGACATATTACAGAAAAGATTACATCACCAAAAAAAAGACATATTACATGACTTAACCAACTACACTATGCCTTGTCCTTTCTCTTATTGTCTCATTCAGCAGGTGGTTTTCCATGGCGGACGGTGAAGTTCACATTCACAGAAATCAAAAGTTCCTCATCATCATTAAATTGCACTTGAGATTCGAATGTTCTGTGCCGCTGGTTTAGCCAACGTAACGCTAGCGTTATTGGATTCGCCGATTGTTTTTCCTGGTTCTCACCAATCCCAAAAATCGCACTTGGAACTGCAACATTTGAAGAATTTACCTTTGTTACAGGTTTTCCTTTTCCACCACAAAAAATTTCTGAAATCCTCTTGCACAATCTGCGCATCAGCATTTTATCGGACAATCGCTAAAGAAGTGTCCAACACCCTTGCAGCCATGGCAAATTCCGGAGTTCTTTCCTGACATTCTGTCGTAACAATGAATATGACATTATCAATAATTTAAGCATAAACTATAATAAATTCTAATGAGATGTCTATAAGGTATTAACATGATACTTAAACACACACAATGATTATTAAAGTCTTGAAGAACTGCATTCGAAAATATACAAGCAATCCACATGATATATATTCGCTTCAAGAATTGCATTCAAAATACTAATAGTTGCATTTGTTCATGGCATTTGGGAAAATGAAGCAAGATCCCCGAAACTTGATATACATGCCTTTAGGTTAGCAACAAATAAACAAAAATCATCATTCTTCAGCATAATCCAGTACCTGTTTTTCACAAAATTGTCAACATTTTCAGCATAATTCAGTACCCGTTTTTCACAAAATGTTCGCAACATTCTGTCTTGCTTAATTGAACCCAGTAAAATAAACCAGCAAACATGAAAACTGAACAATAATTATAGCATAAACTCCAGATTTCAAACTTCAGAAAAATTTAAATCCCATGTCTAAAATCCAGCTTATACACAGAACACCACCATAACAACTCATGGTTTGACAGTACCAAAACAACAGCCCTTTAATATAATAAATAAACTGATAGCAACCCAAAGATCGAATTTATAGCAACCACATAACCCAATTTGCATTTCACAGCATCTCTCTAAAAATCGAACATAAACCAACCAATAAAGATCAATAAACCATACCTCTAAAGTTTTGTCAGATCTAACTTTGTGACGTTAGTGGGCTCAACGGCTGATTGAAGGTGGGGGAGGTAATTTATTCTAAACTCTCACCGTCTCTAATAGTAACTTTGTTCGTGACGTAACATTATTCAAATAAATAGTGACGCTGAAGGTGCGGCAACTAATGTGCCGATTGCCAAAGGTTAGTGATTCGAGAAGGGTTCGATTTTGGAAGAGAGAAAACGGGGAAGAATAATGGGGGAGAGAGAGAACGAAAGTCAGAGACAAATGAGGAAGAATGTTGGGGAAGAGAGAAATCAGATACGGATTTCAAATTTCAAATTTTTTTTTTTAATATTGGTGCCCCGTCATTTTGTAAAGGGACTTTGTCAAGGGATTTAGGTTGTGTAGCAAGATTGTTTTATCCCACCTATAAACATTATCAGTGGGCATATTTTATCTTACCCACTATGGGGTTGGAGATTATTTCTAATATACGAAGCGCATAAATTGACATGAAAATGAAAGTTTAAGGACTATTTTAGAACAAGAAAGTGTATACGTTTCTCTATCTCAGTGGCCTAAGTCATATATTTTATTATATCCATCATAAATAGGAGATCATTTCCAGTAGATGAAGTGCATAAATTGACATGAAAATGAAAGTTTAAGGACTAATTTAGAACAAGAAAGTACATACGTTTCTCTCTCTAGATGGCCTAAACGCCTAAACGGACTGTCCGAATAAGTCACTACCTCCTTTCTCTCTCTACGTCAATCTCCTCTCTGTAAGACAGTGTCACTGCTATAGTAACAGTGTGCAACAATTTCTCTTTCCGTCTCTGCATATCTTCTCCTTTTGGGTTCTCAGTCAAATATTTGCTAAATAAAGTGAAAAAAGTTGTGCACTGTTTCTGCCTCCCCTTACCCTTTTCTTGATTTTATCAGTTCACTATCCTTCAATGGACATTTTTTAGAGTTTAGACTCATCCCATCAGGTAAAAATCTGGTTTTTTTATCCCATTCAAAATACATAAAATTCCCTTTGATCCATTAGACATATGTTTAATTTTCTTCCATTTTCAGTGACCAAAAAGAAAGAAAAGGAATTTTTTTCGCGTAGTTTGATTGCGACTTGCGAGAGGTTTTGATCATGCCGGTGGTGGAAAATGCGAGTGCTAACGTGGCCAATCGGGCCGACCCGGATACCCCAAAAAATGACGCCGCCGTGGATCATCACCAGCAGCAGTCTTCCGTTAATCAGAAGTCTACGAAACCGGCCGACAAAAATTTCCATATGATGGTTCAGAAAATATCTCCTCAACAATCCAGCGGTCAGTTGTACACTATAAATGGAAATGGAGTGTCAAAGGCTAATATTAATAGCAGTAATAATCAGAGTCGTAAGAAAATGAAGGGTGAAGATGATGGGAGTGAGGGGTTTAAAAGAGAGATGAGGGATTTGGAGGAAATGCTGTCAAAATTGAACCCGATGGCCCAGGAATTTGTGCCGCCGTCGCTTGGGGCGGTGTACCAAAGACTGGTTGTGCCGCTGCCACAAGCCGCAGGGCACTATGGGTATAATGCTAATGGTTTTTTAACTCAGCAACATGTAAACTCTGGAGTTCCAAATGGGAATTCTATTAGGAGGGTTGGTATTTTATCTGATATCCTTTCTATTTTGTTGTTGTTCTTTTTGTGTCTTATTAATGTGTGTGTGGTTGATAAGGAGAATGAAAAAACAAATTAATGGATGAATATATGCAAAGCTTAAAATATTTTATTTCCCTGTCCTTTTGATATCTTAATGAAGTTTATTTTTGAGGATAGAAAGAGGCCATTTGATTAAAGGAAGGGATGTGATTTTATCCATGCTTTTGGTGTTGTAATGCAATGTGCAGAAGAACAATGGCTACAGTCAGGGGAAGCGGAGGATAAATAATCAAACAAATATGGCACAGCGAGAAGAGGTTATTAGGAGGACTGTGTACGCATCAGATATTGATCATCAGGTAAAGATACTTCAGAGTTGTGGATACGTTGTTTTGTTTCATTAATGGTTACAGTGTTCAACAGCGTCTTTCTTGTTATGACTGTAGGTTACTGAAGAGGAACTTGCAGCGCTCTTCATTGGTTGCGGACAGGTATGAATCTTTCCACATACTGTGTAGAACTATATTTATGCTGACTTTAACATTATGTTCTAAACATCTTATCCACATTGTTGGTGCCTAAGGTTGTCGATTGTCGTGTTTGCGGTGACCCTAACTCTGTACTTCATTTCGCCTTCATTGAATTCACCGACGAGGGTATGTAATTCAAAGTGGTGGTTTGGTTGTGTATTTTTGCAAACCTTTGGGTTGATTACATTGCATTGTTTTCCATTTGCAGAAGGTGCAAGAAATGCTTTGAGCTTGGCAGGAACTATGCTTGGATATTATCCAGTTAGAGTTCTGCCTTCAAAAACTGCGATTGCACCTGTTAACCCTTCCTTCTTGCCACGGGTGACTAATTCATTAGTGGTTACCATCTTTAGTTTCTTATGACACGTGTTATTTAAACTTGAATTGTTTCAAAGAATAAGCGGATACAAATTTTTGTTTTCTTTGCTGTGATATTAGTCTGAAGATGAAAGGAAGATGTGTGCAAGAACTATTTACTGTACAGATATTGAAAAAAAGGTAGCTTTGGGATTTATAATCTTTTTCTGTTAACGAGCATTTATTGGGTCACACGTGGTTATCATTTATTGTATTTTTGTATGATGCAGGTTACTCAAGCTGATGTCAAACTCTTTTTTGAATCCATCTGTGGAGAGGTTTGTAGCTGCTTACATAACAACGTAGAAGAAATCTTTTCATTGAATCCTTACTTCATATTATGGAATATGTTATCTTCCATAGGTTTTACGCTTGAGGTTGCTTGGCGACTATATTCATTTGACTCGTATAGCTTTCGTGGAGTTTGTAATGGTAAGTACCATAGCCATCTCCCTCATTTTCTACGAAATATTCACTGCTTAAAGATCTCTTATCTCTGGCATGATTTTGAGTCAATTCTGCTTAGGTTCTTTTTGCTGATCATATTTCATTCAGTTATCAGTCTTCTCAAATAATTTTTAAGATTTTTTTATTTTGGCATTGATATTAGAAGTTATTGATGATTTCATGTTCTTACTTGATGGCTCCTTGTAACTGCCTGTCCCATTCAGAAATTCTTTATGGATGCTTTCATAATTTTATTATGTTCACGAATGGAGCCGGTCTCAAGCTCAAGCTAATTTTGTTTCCTTTCTGGCACTTTATAGATAGAAACAGTTCTCTCGGATTAATGTTGAGTTGCTCATATTCTAATATGCTTATTTAGACGCTGAAGCTAATATCAGTTATATTTACTCAAAAACTTTTACTTAGGCAATGGTAAAAGACGTATAACTCATTAATTTATCCCTCTAATATTGGTACTAGTCAAAATTGAACCACTCTTATTCGCTTACAGCCTTCTACCGTATGTCCAATTATTGCATAGCCATCTTGCTGTCAGGTTTGGGTTCCACTTATGTTGCTCCTCTCCGAACTCAATTTTCCTCTTTCTACACTCAAATCTTGTTTTCCTACTCCATGTTACTCAACTGTATATTCTTCATTTAAAGCAGTCTTTTCTCACCAGTAAAAGCCATCAGAGAAATGAAGGTTCACGTATTCCACCAATTTGTTTCTAGAAAAGATGACCTTTTGGCTAGTTATGTTTAAACTTTGTGCTAATTCACTGGCCAACTATAAAAGGAAATAACTTCAGTCGTATCTCCTCCCAATCAGTGTTGGATCCTTTTGTAAAATTAAATACTCTATACATAAATATATTCCACAGTTGGCATGTTACTTTAAAGTCACCGTTTCAGGTAATTTTACTCGTGACTGTTATTCACTCTTCTGACAAATCCGAGCACTGTTACTTATATTAATTTTATTTGAGGTGGAAACCTAATATGAAAAATCTACTCTCTGAATATTTCTTCTTGTGACTTGTTGGAAGTGTTACAATTGTTTCGGCTATCGGGAGATAATACATGTGCTAAAACTGTATCTAATAGCTTCTTTGTACTAGGCTGCAGTAGCTTTCTAACGCTTTGACTGATTTACTTTTTGTCCAATATTTATACAATTTTCTAGGTTGAGGACATTTAGCCCTCTTATCTTTGTGTTTTACTCTCTCTCTCTCTCTCTTTTCTTCTTTTTTAATTCTGGTAATGAAGTCATCCTTTTACCATCAAAATAAAGAAAATTACTAGTAAGCTTACATGTTTTCTTTGAGTGTGGACGTGTTATGAAGAGGTGCTAATTAATGAATAATTATGCACTAGAGCGGACGCAGATATTTTAAGTTAGAGGAGCCACGATCAAATTCTTTACAAATCGAATACTTTGTTCTTAGTTTTTGAATGATTCATACTTGACACAAGAAAATGCATATAAACATTTAAAAAACATTTCTTCGTTAATATTTTGCTCATTTTGTCATCAATTTGATTTCGAAGTCATTTTATTAATATTTTGTTCATCACAAGAAAATGCATATTTACGTTTCAAAAAATTTATGATGTATTTAATACAAACAATCAATTCAAGTAATCGAAAGGAAAAACATATAACCGATATTCAATACTAATGATAAATCAAATAAAAAGAATTCGTTAAATATAAGTTAAATTTGATATAATCACTTTTAGCTACATTCTATATTTGGGAGAAAATACAAATTTAAGTTCTAATTAGTTGAAAATTTGATTGGAAAGTGAAAATTTGTAGATGTGGTAATTTGTATAGAAATTATAGACAAATTTTAGAAAATTGGAAGACTTAAGGTTTTGGTAAAAAGCGTGAGGGAGAGAGTAAGATAGAGCAAGAGAAAAGAGAAAAATTCAAAATTATCGTGATTTTGCCCCTGTTTGGTGGATCAAAATCAGATTTTTAGTAAATTTTGATAAAAGCTTAAAATTTAAGAATTCCATGAAATATGTTATTAAAATTAAATGCTAACTTTGATTTAGATTAAAATTTAGATTTTAATCGATACCAAACAGGACTTTATCAAAAAAAAAAAAAAAAAAAAAAAACCCCAAAGTTGGGGGGTCACGTGACCCCCCAGGGTGCAGCAGTGATTATGCGTGGTTTATTCTGTTAGAATGAACTTATTTGCTTTGCTAGAAGGGATAAGCATACCCTTGATTATGTAGGCAGTAAATTTTTCCTTGATTAATCACAATGATATTACTCTTTATTAAGATTTTATGTTTGTGAAAATGTTCTATACATTATGTGTATGATGTGAGTAATATGAAAACTTTAAACACCTTGGAAAAGAGCAAAACCATTTTAGACTTCATAAAAATGTTCATTTATGTTTTGGATGTGTTTGGGTTTATATTTCAACTACAATATTTTTTCTTTGGCAGGCTGAGAGTGCAATTGCAGCTCTGAACTGCAGCGGTGCAGTCTTAGGATCACTCCCGATAAGGCTGGTTTCTCTATACCCATGTGTTGTTATGCATTACATCCGAGCCCGAGAGCAATACAATCAAAATAGAAAGTAGAAGCTCACACATGCAACGCAGATTTATAGCGGTTCACTAGCTGTTGTAGGTTTTCACTAAAAATTAAAAAGGAAGAAGTTTACATTGGAGATCTCACACCTATCTCTGCATAATCTTACAGAGAACATGCCCCCTTCGATTCCTTTATATAGCGAGGACACTAGGGCGGCATATTACAGAAAATGGATGCCCAATATATATACATGTTGGACTGTGGAGCCTAATTATCCTGCTTACTCTTCCTTTTGACCATGATCAACCTAATCTCTCTAATATTTGCACTTTTGCAGGGTAAGCCCATCAAAGACCCCTGTTCGACCTCGTGCACCTCGGCAAGCCATGCACTGAACTGTTTGCTAAATTCCCTTAAGCTGATCTGCTGATATATATATTTACACACACACATAGGTAGATATTGAACTTGCTGGTACTTTGTGGCATTTATGTTTTTGGGATTTTTACCTTGCATCTCGGCTGAGTCTCTGTCACTTGCAGAGGATATTTATGGCTGCTTGTCAAGCTTGTAGAGTTGTCCTGTTTTTGAGGTTTAAGTTTACTTCATTTATGTTGCACACCATGTCGAATTCTGTAGGCAGTGCCTCGAAGTACTAATACCATTTCATGTTTCTGACTTGGAAGAAAGGTTTGTTTTGCAATTTTTTCTAGTCATTACCGTGATGGTTGAATATAATTGGTGGCATGGTTCATTTGTGGAGTTTTGAAAAGAAAAACGTTATTCATCTGTGATCACTGGTCTATGAAACAGTGGGATCTATCTACCCATTGTCTAATGATGTTTGTACGTGTTTTTAGACGTTTGATAATGTGGCAGCAACTCTACTGCCTTATAAATCGATGATCATCTAGACTCGATAAATATCATTTGGTAATTTTGTGATCTGTTCACAATAATGTGGAAAAAATTATGGGAACGTTTTTCAATAGATGTGTTGGACAAGGTTGTGTTTTTTTTTATTTTTGACTGAATTAAAAGTGTTGTTTAGAAACGACTTTGTGCTATTGGCGCCTCTTAATTTGACGTTGCCACATGTTGTCGATGGTCTGGTAGCTTCACATATAGGCTAAGTTGACCCCACTTGTAAAGCGGTTGAAACTTCAAATCTAATTTTTTCTGAAATTGTTCTTTGAATATTTGGGTAAACTGAGGGAGATTGATTGTCTATGCTGTAACTTTATATTGAGCAATCTGTTTGTGAGAAATCTCGTGTAATTTCTGAGTTTCCTAGTTACAGCTTCGTAAATCTTTTTTGTAACTTCATAAATTTCGATTTTACGCTAATACTGTGACCATTTAGTTGGTAGTTGCTCAAAAGAGAATGTAAAATTTTTATTTTCAAACATCATGGAACAAATCTTCTATCTTCTCACTTTTAAGTTCCTGCTTAAATTTTGATGTCATCATTGGACATTGATTAATGCTCTTTGGGGCTTTTAAGATAATTATACTTTCTATACGAGGCTAAGGTTTAGCCGATTTAACAAAGGGAGCAATTTTGATTGGAATGAAAAAGTCGAGGCTCTAGTCGAACTTGATGTATCAAAATAGGGATTCATGACTTGCTTCGTGCTGAACCTAGACTTCATTTCTACGAAAAATTCTTTGAGTTCTTAGACGACGTATAAAACAGGTGTAGATATTATAGTGTCTAGTGGCGATTATCAACACGACTCTCCTCTCCTCTGCATCCTTACTCCGACTCCAAACTCCCAAAAAAATTAGGACGGTTCATAAAAATGCAAAAGCAATTTTCATAGTTGCTAGAATGAAAATTAGAGTTAAGTTTGTGGTGCATAAAAAATAATTCCTAAGATCACAAAATTTTACTGTTCATTTTTAAAAGTTGATTGCAAATCTCTTTTTTCAAAAGAATTACAAAGTGGAGTAGTATTCCTGTAAAAGGCAAAATCTTTGTCGCCTCCAAAGTCACAATTGTGTCACCCTCTGTCCTCCTATCTGATAACGACATTCTTATTTCTTCCAAAATGGAGGACCCCAACAACACCTACAACCACCTAAGCCCTTACCATTTAAAAACATTATCATATATTTGTCTGAATTGAAACAAGTGGGCCATTATTACTACAATAAACAAAACAAACCTAAGTTGCCAACTGAACCCTTTGCCCTACTATACACCTAAACCATATAATGTCTACTGTAGTATCTCAGATACAGTTCTTTTAGGATTTTTTATTTTTTTGAATCTCCTGAAAAATGTTCTAAAACGTAAAGTGTGATGAAGTGTAGAAGACAAGCAACGACTTAACCATAAAAAAAATTTATTTTTTTAATTTTTAAATTATTTTAAAATTTCAAATCAATCTAAAAATTATTTAATAATTAAAGAAAAAAAAAAGAGTTTAGGCGTGGAAAAAAAAATAAAAAAAGCAAAAAATAAAAAGAGCAAGGTGGGGCGTTTTGTGCCCGATTTGCGCCTAAGCACCACTTTTTTAGAACACTGCTTCTTGTACATCATTTTTCTTTACTGATAGTATCCATCGAAACAAATGAAGAAAAATGACTCGACCCAAAACCTTATAAAGCTATTATATTTTAAGAAAGAAATACGATCTTGTGGTCTTTCATCAAATCCACTAATTGAAATATATTTATAGGCATACAAGACATCTAAATTATATACTTATAAAAAATAAGGTAAAATATTGTGCTGGCATCTTTTCTAAATACTTAAAAGCAAGATGAAATCTGCAATCCTTGAGAGAGAAAAAGTTCTCCCCTTTTCTTGGAATGTGAAATATAATATATTCATAGACAGGTTAAGGTTTGTTTGTAACTACTATGGACTCACCAGAAACACAAAGATAATACCAAAAAATATTTAAAAAAAAAAAAAAAGAATTGAAAAACAGAAGACTTAATAAAGCTTCAAAAAATCTAGCTGTCTTCTTTACTCGATTATATGCCCTTCTGTAAAGATTTTTCCCATATAATTATAATTTGCAAACCTTCTTTAGGAAGGACCATTCTATGGTAGCCAATTGCCCATATGGGAAGGAAACCTCATGCGCGGCTTTATAATAGAGATTCTTTTAATTGAGAATAATGCTAATTGTGCATTCCATGATTGACATCTTTGTGTACATTTCATTGGAATTCAAAAAGCTTTGGACGAAAAAGTGTGTTTGTTTTTAACTGTTTAGTCATTTGTCATCACATGACACACTGTTAAACATGATATCAAGAAGAATGTACATGTAGCATGATTGTTTAACTGAATGTCAAAAATTTACAAGAGCTTCTGCAAATAAAGCAAGGATGAGCGATGCCTATGCGCAACCATCCACTAAGCCGACCTTTGTTGCATGCGTGTTGACGAAGACAGTAAAATCTTTACTACTTTCTTTCATTAAAGTTCAAATCCTCATTGGCTTACTATAGAAAACTATTGTGCCTTTTTCATCACACAAAATCAACTATCTTTACTCAACTTTTTCTTGTATATAATCCTACATTTCCTCTTTGCATTCAAGAAATCTCTTGCTGCATAATTTCCTTACGTCTCTTCCTCTTTAGTTTAATTCAGAAGGGATTCGACTCTAGACAAGTGAAGTCGTTGCTTAAGACCTTAAATTCTAAGGACATCCATAATAGTTTTCGTCCTTATTATTTTGCTTTGCACCCCCAAATTTCTTGAATCATCTTTGAGTATTGTTATCGTCGTTCTTGTTTTTCTTCTAAGCACGAGAATATATGGGAAATTCTCTCTCTTTTGGCAAGCACGATATAAGTTCGTGTATCAGATTAGGCAGAGGAAGAAACAACAGATTTTTCAAGGTGGAGAGACCGGATAGTACCGGAACTCCTCTGTTGAATCCAGTTCGAACTGGAACTCTGCCTGCCGCAGCTGTGCCACCACCGGTCGGGGCTGAAGCTGAGCCAGCCGCTGCAGTCAAGAGGATTAAAGTAGTCATTACAAAGCAGCAGCTTCAGGAGTTATTATCAAAGAAAATATCAGTTGAAGCAGTTATCCTAGGAATAGATAGATCATGTAATTCAGTTGAATCTCGGAAAAGTTGGAAGCCTATTCTTAAATCCATTCCTGAAGAAAATGAGTTGTGCTAGGGAAGATAGTGTTGTAGTGATATTAAACTGATTCTGAATTTCGAATGCATTTTTTCTGCAAATTAAGTTAGAATCAGTTTGGTGTCATTAAACATATAAAGAGTTGGTATTATTTTGTTTACTGATGTTTCTTGTCAACTTTCCTAAGATGAATTACGGTTTCATGTGTCCTTCAATCAGAAACTTTAACTTGCTTGGTATTGATGAAAACTAAAAGCATGTACGAGATGTGCTAGACATGACAATTGACAAGATTAATCATTGTAGACTCGATGTAATCTAATTATATTGTACGCTTTGTTATGCCCTGAAATCTGTGAAGCCTTCTTGGAATCACTCGCTCGTACCAGCAATTGATTTTACCGACAAAGTACCAAAGTTTATCGCCCTTTTCTGGGTACGATGATCTTAGTGCCTAACTTTGTTTGTTGGAGTGTATAGGTAACACATGATGTTGCATGGAAGTTTCAAGAAATCTTGAATTCAGGCCCAGTTTACTCACCAAATGAACACCAACCTAGGATTGCTTGACCCACAACTATTCCACTTGATTGCCACAAGTTTTGTACCCACAAAGGATACACTTGGTTGTGGTGATTGCAACCACTAAAGAAGAAGAAAAACAAAGAGGAACCATGGTAATCGCTGAACCAAGAAAGCTTGCCTCACACATTGTTCTCTCTGCAAAACACACTACACACACACAACAACGGCTGGAAGGAGATGAAACATGTATCAAGCTAATTATTAGGCTAAAGGTAAGTAATTGGGCCAAGTCTCATTAAATGGGCCAACATATCACCACCAATCCAAAACCAACCACAACATGACCATGGGATATCCACAGTATTGGATCAAGAGCAACATTAAATTAATTAAGCTGCTTCTCGTGGCTTCAATTGTTTTTGGCTCGAGCCATCACTAAGGTGTCGATATAAAATTATTCAACATCGTTTTAACATCATCGCCGGAGATTTATTAGGTATCAAAACCCAACACACAAGACTTTAGAGATTGAATTGTATAGTTTGCATCATTTACATTACAAACACAATGCGCTTGGGCATACACAAGCTGTATGTGCTAATCAATGCGCAGAAAAGACAGATATCATTACTTTTAAAGCAACTGGGATCAACTTAATCCTTTTAACCTCGAATTTTTAACACTCAAACATGGCTCCATTCAAGAGAATCAAGAGTCGTAATACAATATGGACTGACACCTTTCATGAGCCAAATAAAGATTTTCGAGCTTTTATCAAATAAAGATTGCACTTCAACTGAAAGAACAGAAAGCAAAGGGAACATAACATTTTGTGTGTCTCAATAACATTTAGTAGCAGGCCACAATTATTTAACAACATAACTATGGTGTGGATGATAAAACCACAGAGATTACAGAACCTTTATCTAATAGTAAAAAGAGCTGAGAAAAGAAGAGTTATTCATATTTTCACTGTATGCAGAGAACAGAGGCTTATTCATTGACGTTATAATATCCATAGAGTGAAAGTTTTCCCCATGGCCTTACTAATATACACCTTCAAGCTGTCTTATCTTAAAACAGTATCACAATTCAAATTCATCATCAAGCTTGAGTGCCTCAGCAGCAGCTTCCTCCTCTTCATCATCAATAGCTAAATAAGGGTTATGCATTTTAGGCCTAAAATTATAGCCAGTAAACACATAAAATCCAAGAGTAGCCAATTCGGAAGCCACTACACCAGTCCACTCATACTTATACGACGTTATAGACTCCAACGCATAAACTACCACCCTCGTAAAGTATATATAACAAATAACCACAACATAGTAATGCCTAAACAATGTCAACTTCATCAAATTCACTGCGGCCTTCCCATCCGTCCTGGCAGCCTCTCTCAACTTCTTAATCGACCACACTATAGGGAACAGAACTGCACAACAGCAGATAATATCCACAACCAAGAAAACTTGCTTCCAAGTATACAAATTTTCGCCAAACGGTCCAGCCTCATCAATCACAACTTGAGCTATATTCGATACCACTTGCAACGGAATTACCACAATTAAAACCTTCTTCTCTTTATCTTGCAAATAAGGTTTAAGAAACGACCATCCAGTTCCTATCAAAACTATCAAAATGAACAGTGTAATACCCTTCAAAAAGCTAAATATATAAAACAAAACATCCCACCCATGAGCACTTCCAGTTCTCTTGATATAAGACTTATCCTCAGCCTCGAATAATAAATTGAACGCCTTCAAAATCACGACCGCAAGCATAAAAAAGTGGATTCTGTGAACAGATAAACGCTTTTTATACAGGGTACGAATCCAAACAGCCCCTAAGAACAAATATATTAAGAAAAATATGAAGTAAATTGAAGGGAGAGAAGTTTTCCCTGCGGATAAAAAATCAAAAGTTGTTGTTTTGGGGATAAAATTGTACATCACGGAATGAACATTCATGGAAACTTTCAAATTCGGTATACAATTGGCAAAAACCAGAGTGAACAGATTAGATTCGGATACTTTGATTGAAGTATTCAAATTTCGGGTCGGTTGGGTCGGGTTCTGGGGGTGGTTGAAAGTTAAAACGGGTATGATGGAACTGGATTGGAGGAAGCATTGAATTTCACCTTCTTGAAGCTGCTCGAGTACGTGCAACCATGAATCTTGAGTACAGAGGAAGAACCCGACAAAAGAGAGATCAGGTTCAGGTCCGGGTCCAGGTGGCATTAAAGAAATATCGGTGACAGTGAGGTTGAGGTAGCCGGAATGGGTGAATCCAAATTCATCGAAAAGGATGGTGGATCGCGAGTCAGAGTGGATCTCCGAGAATCGGATCTCGGCACGGATTGTGTAGAGGAAAAATGTGAGGAAAAGAGGGAGTAGAAAAAGAGATTTCATTGTTTCAGGGAAGAAAAAATCTATGGCGGATGAAAATGTTAAAGGTTTTTGGGGTATTATGATCAAGTGCCGACAGGACAGTAATGGAGGGAAGTCAAAGTCAAGAACGTTCAATTTACGTGGGAAAATTGGAATAGAGACCCGCAATTAATTGAATTTGTAAAAAATGGGTCGTCTTTTTCTAGATTGGGTATTTTAGTATTGGATCTTTTGAGTCCATGTCATCTTCATCTCAGTGGAGGGGTTTTTGTTGGGTTTCTAACCCAAATTAGATTGGATTTTTTTGGAAAAAATATTGTTTCTTTTATTCCACGCGATTGTATTGGAAAAACGTTATTTTCTTTATTACATGCTATTTTATTTGAAAAATATTATTTCCTATATTCCACGCAATTTTTTTTAAATATATATATTTTTCCTTTTTCGCGCAAATTTTTTTTTTTCATCTTATTTCCATCTTTGTGCTATTTACAGTGTTTATTATGCACCGCTATAAATACTTGACTTTTTTAACAAGTTTTGTATTATTAAAATATAAAATAATTGTCCATGACAATTATTGTATTTGTTTTCTCTACATTAGTCAATTGAATAAAATATTCCGTTTCTCGACCAATTAATTCTTCACTTTATCTTGTTGTTTATTTTCAATTATATACTTCATATCATGTCATATATATTATCTCGGTCCGTTTTATTACCCAACAGGTAGTATTAGAGCGATTGGTTGTGATTTACTCGAAGTTTTTGTTATTGAATGCAACCATGAAATACAAAATTTTGTTCTTCGATAGCAATACAAGATTTTCGTTGTGGCAAATGAAAATATGAGTTGTACTTGCGCAGACAAATTTGGATGATGCGTTGGGATTTGACGAAATACCCTTAACTTAGGACAATGAAGGAAAAACAAAAGAATGATCGGAAGACACTTTCATAGATTCATTTTTATCTCTTTAATGACATTCTTCAGGTCATTTTGAAAGGAGAAAATAACAATTGTGTTATGGTTGCAGTTGGAGCAAGTGCATGACTAAAAGTCTGTTAAGTAAACTGCATCTGAAGCAGATGTTGTATTTTCTCGCATGGCAAAAGGTGGATCTTTGAAAGATTATCTGACAGTGTTTAAGGAGATCGTCGCTAATTTAGAGACTTTAGAGGTAAAGTATGATGAAAAATATTTGGCTTTAATCCTTTATGTTCGCTACCCATTTCGTTTAGAGACACAATCTTGTATAGTCATGATACTCTCATCGTTGAAGATGCGTATGCTGCCTTATTTTCGAAAGAGAAGATGAAACATCTAGTTGGATTTGAGGCCAGAGATAGAAGCATTGTTATTCATGGTGATCGTCTAAGGGATAAGTCGAGGTCAAATTTCAATAATGAGGTTTATTATTATTGCAAGAAGAAACGACATGTTAAGAGAGATTGCAACAACTTGCAAAATAAAGGTAATTTAACTGCAAATCACATGAATCAATCAAAATACTTCAGACGAGACCAGCAAGTCAAGAACTATTTAAGTGACGGAGATGTTTTGAACATTTCTGATATGGAATCTGAACTTGACGAAGAATTGATTTTGTATACAACTTATGTGTTCCATATATGTCCCAATCGGGATTTATTTGAAACATATGAAATGATGGCACAAGGTGTTGTTCTTATGGATAATAACGAATATTGTCGAATAGCTAGTATTGGTAGAGTTGGATTGAAAGTGGTGGATGAAACATGTAGAACACTTAATCATGTTCAACATATTTCAGACTTGAAGAAAAATCTCATTTCGTTGAGTGCTCTTGATTCAAAAGGGTATTACTTCTCTAGAGGAGATGGAGTCTTGAGGGTTGGAAAGGGTGTTCGTGTTGTATTGGAAGTGTGAAAGATGTCTTCCTTATATATCTTGCAATGTTGGGTAGATTTTGTGAAGAAAAGTCAGCCTAGATTTAGTATCCTCGTAGAGATTCAGTTTGGTACTGTACCTCTAAGATTTGGTTCAGAGGACGTATCGAAAACTACTTGTCTGTCAAGTTTGAATGATATGGGTAATTCTCTTTTGCCATCATTACTTACGGTTCCATCGAATTCAGTTGCTAGGAATGATCCATTAGAGGTAGATACGTGAATGATGATTTGGTTGCACATGCTTTTAGCGTTTTTAAAGGTGATAAGACTAGCCAAATGCCTTCTATAAAAGCATTGGGAGTTAAATTTGCTAGATGGTGTGTTTCGACATTGTTTGGTAATTTTTAATTCTTTGTGAATTTTGGAGAACTTGACATTTGGGTTCATTTATCCGTGTTGGATACTGTGAAAAATGAGGAGTATTTTATGTTGGAGAAAGCTTGGTTCTTGTTGAAGAGATCGATTTTTTCATTACAATCGGATTTATTTTGTCTTGGTGCAGAAATTTTAGAGTTTCATTTGTTGTATTGAAATTTATGTTATTAGTTTTTTTGAGTCAATTATTGTATTTACCCCTTGTTTGAGCCTCAGTCATTGGAAAAAAAAATGCATTCTTAAGTAGTGTTTTAAAATCATTTCAACTGCACATTTTCAATAAAATAATATTACACGCAAATTCAAATTGTTTTCTCATTTTTTAACCACACATTTTTCATCAATATACTATTCAAAAATATATTATCACCCCAAAATGGGGCTCAAACAAGGGCTTATTTTCTCCATATTAGTCAATTAAATAGAATGCTTCGCTTTTCTACTAATTAATTATTTGCTATCTTCTTGTATGTTTATTATCATATACTTCATATAGTTTTATATATATTACCTTGATCCATTTATTTCTCAACTATTTTATCTAACCTTTGAAAGGTTAAATCCAATAAGCTTTATCATTTGTCAAGTGAAATAAGTAAATACAAATTACTTTAATAAGAAAATAAATAAAAAGTTGAGAAACAATTACCCATTTGTGAGTTCTCTATCCCTAATCTCTATTAGCCGCTTGTCTAACCTTTATTTTCCTTCAATAGTATCCCATCTAATCCTTTTTATTTTGACTTGGACTTCCTCTCCATTGCCTCCTTTTGTTTTAGCCCTCTTATCTTGTTGCACTCATCCCTCTTTATGCTTTTGCCCTCTTCCTCTACTTACACCCCATATTGGGATGGGCTATCTGAGTTTAAAGAAAATGAGTGGTTATTAAATTTGGGAGGAAATAAGTTAAACATTGAGATATAGGTACTATAAATACAAAATATAAAAACTAGAGAACAAAATTACAAGAAAAAAGGTTTGGAGCCAAATTGCCGTAATAACTTTAGATTAAGGACCTACGATGAAATTTTCCTAATCCAAGTAAACGTTAGGGCAACGCTAGACTTCTCGTGCCTAACAAAATTAAATTCTTCTAGTTTACTTCATTTTTATAAGCTTAATATAATATCTATATTTTCTTTTATACCACGACTCTCATATTTTAATAAATTTTGATAAAAGTTTATGAAATTTGTGATTGAAAAGTTATGGTCTTATGAAATATGTGGTTAAAAAAATTAATTATTGATACTAAAAAGAAAGATTTTAGAGTCATAAATTGTAATTACAAGTAATTTTTAAGCAATTTTGTTAATAAATATATGGAAAATAATGTTATATCCGAATTCTGTGTTGTAAAAAAAATTCTATTATATCATAAAATGTCATAAATAATAATTTATTATTATTATTATTATTATTAGTCATGTACAAACCATAGTGAGAATAACAGTCAAGGAAATCATTTACCATCATTATAAATAAAACAATAAATAAAAATAATTAAAAGAAAAACAGAGCTTTCTTTTTTCGATTTACGGGATGTAGAAAAAGCCCACAAATTCATACTAATTGTATTCTTGTTGTTTATTATTGAACAAGCAGAGTTGTGAGTTAAATGTTTTATTCTATAGTTCCTAAGCCCTCGTTTGTTTCTTATTTTTGGAAGAATGAGAATAAAAAATATAGTTATTATAGACCCTACACAAGAAATAAAAATTCAAATTTCATGACTTGATGTGATGGATAACGATTATATTTTTTATTTTAATGAAGAAATAATGGAAATCAAATAGGGGCTAAATTTGTTGATCAAATTTTATATTCTTTATTTTAATTAAAATATATACATGGATTCAATTGACTTAAAGAACGAAGACTTACTTTTCCAAGAAAGAAATCTGGTTAAAAACACTATGAACCGTAGAGACATTTTTTTCTACACGGAATGTGTGATTTGATTTGGATGGTATCCTTGATGGGACAATTTGACTTCAATGTGTTCTTAAGTCGTTTTAAATAAGCTATAAGTCAAAAACTATTCAAATCTAACAATGCATATTTTTATTTACGTCCCATCTTCTCAGTTTCTTTTCCACCTTGCAGTCCTCGCCATCACTGATGGGAAAAATTCATATTTAAGGTATATTCTTTACACCATTTCAAAAGTCAGGTAAGAAGTTTGAAAATTCAAAATTCAGGTTTGTATTTAATTAATTAAAATTATTTATTAAATAAATATATTAATGTCACATTTAAATAATTAATGGTCACAGATTTATTTACTGGTCACATATCATCAAATTAATTGGTTACAGATTTATTCACTGGTCACATATAAAAAAATTTATAGGTTACAAATTATTTCAAGGTTACAGATCAAAAATTTTAGAGGTCACAGATTTTCTTAAGTCACGGATTATCAAATTTCAAGGTTACAGACCAAATCGTTGAGGTCACAGATTAATTTTTAAGTCACAGATTGTCAAATTTTAAGATCACATGCCAAATCATTGGTCACATATACCAAATACTCCACTGCCAAACCCAATTCACCACCAATGCTTAGTCACAGAGCAACCAAATGGTCACCACCACCACCGCCACCAACAATGTCGCCACCACTAGATCCAACACCATTGCCAACAAAAATCACCACAACTAACAACCACCGTTTCCACCCAAATCACTACTACAAACAGCCACCGCCAACAACACCACCACCGCAGAACACATATCGAAAAAAATTTCAATGACTCACTGCCTAACCACACCAGCTGC